GCAGAGTCTACGCCTGCTGCTGCAGAGTCCCTTTCTCGTCCTTCAGAGTCCCCTCCTCATCATCTTCCAGACTCTTCGTTCCCTCGTCATTCTCCAGACTCTTCGTTCCCTCGTCATCCTTCAGACTCTTCATCCCCTCATCCTCCTCCTCCAGAGTCTACGTCTCCTCCTTCTCCGCCAGAGTCTACGTCCCCTCCAGAGGCTATGTCCCCTCCTTCTCCGGCAGAGTCTACGTCCCCTCCAGAGACTATGTCCCCTCCTTCTCCACCATAGTCTACGTCTCCTCCAGAGACTCCGTCCCCTCCTTCTCTGCCAGAGTCTACGTCCCCTCCTTCTCCGCCAGAGTCTACGTCCCCTCCAGAGACTATGTCCCCTCCTTCTCCGCCAGAGTCTACGCCCCTTTCTCTTCCTCCTCCTCATTTAGAGTCTCAGTCTTCAGTGTCCCAGTCTTCAGAGTTCCAATCTTCAGAGTCCCTTCGTCCTCTTCGCGAATTGTCATCCACACACCAACCTCCAGAGTCTTCGTCCCTCCAGCCTCCAGAGCCTTCATCTCTCCATCCTCCAGAGTCTATGTCCCTCCATCCTCCAGAGTCTCCATCCCTTAATCCTCCAGAATCTCTGTCCCTTCATCCTCCAGAGTCTCCGTCCCTTTATCCTCCAGAATCTCTGTCCTTTCATCCTCCAGAGTCTCCATCCCTTCATCCTTCAGAGTCTCCATCCCTTCATCCTTCAGAGTCTCCATCCCTTCATCCTCCAGAGTCTTCATCTCCTCCTCATCCTCCCGAGTCTTCGCCTCCTCCTCATCCTCCCGAGTCTTTGCCTCCTCCTCATCCTCCCCCCATCCAGAGTCATCATCCCTTCCTCCCTCTCATCCAGTGTCTTTGTCCCCTCAGCCTCCCGAGTCTTCGTCCCCTCAGCCTCCCGAGTTTTCCTGCGTCCCGGCTCCTGGTTCTCCGCCGCCAGCCCCCCAGACTCTCATTGCCCCGTGTATCCCATCTCCTGTCTCCTGTTCTGTTTGCTCCTAACCCTGTTTTTGCTCTTTTGGTCATTTAGGGGTGTTTGTGATTTTGGTCCTTCCTCGCCCACCCTTGTGGGTCGTTTTCTGTTTGGCCCCTCCTCTCCCGCCCTGTGGTTGCCTGTGTCCTGTTTGTCCCTGTCTTCTGTTTGTGGTTTTGTCATTTGTGCATCTGGTATCCACCCTTGGGGGATTACTATTACCAGTTTGGGATTACTACTTCCTGTTTTTGATTACTATTTCCTCTTTGGATCACTATTGACTATTCTCTGGTGTGGGGGTTTGCTTTTCCTGACTCCTGATGCTCCATGCCTGGGATTTAACCTTTCCTTCCTCTGCTGAGTCCTTAGGTCCTCTGGGATTATTCAACGACTCGTGGTTTCTACCAGGCCCCCGTGTTCTTGGAAGGGGGGAGATATGTAGCATCCAGAAATGGTCAGTTTTTCATCTACAGTTTGACCTCTTCAGCATCCGGTCATATAGAGACATAAGTCTGCATCTGGTGCCTTTAATCTGCAAGAAAGATTCAGCAATGCCCTGGCACACACGATAACATTTTGTTAACAAACTGTTGCTTCACCAATGTCTCTCTTCAAGCTTCCTCTTATTTCAGACTGCTGTGCTTCACAGAACAAAGGATAAACTTTCATGATTAAATCATATAATGAAATGAACAATATGAGTTAATCATATAATGAATAGACAAGGTGTTAAATGAAATGTTTTGATTAATCTGTGCTTAAGTTAATAAGGTTGATTAATCTGTACTTAAACTAATATGGCAAAATTAATGTCCTTGCAATATACATTTGTCTGATAATCAGCGTACATGACTTAACAGCTCACACACTCACACACATGACAAGATGACAAGGTTAAGGTAATCTCATGACACATTGCTTTCTGATCCACAAATCAGAGCTCCTGTATCTGAGCAAGGTGTCGGAGGGCGGGGGAGTGGAGCCGCACCCTTGACATCCCATCGTCCCCCGACGCCCACCACCGGTGGGAAAGAGGGGACGTTGGGGGAGAGGCCTCCTCTCCCGCGGTTGGGGCTGTCGCAGGCCTCGGTCGACTCCATCGACCCGGGTCTTCGTCCCCCTAAGTGCAGACAATGGGATGCCCATCGCGACGGACCCATCTCGGGCCCGGCGCTCCCACCGTCCTCCAGTTCTCCCGACACAGCTGTCGTCCCTCCTCCCTTTTCCACCTCCGACGCTCCTCCATGGGCACCAGTGGGGGTTGGGGGGGGGGGGGGGGGGGGGGGGGGCGGAGGCTGCCCCCCCGTCTAGGGTGGGGTTCGCTATATAGGTGCAGGCAGTTGCCCGCTATTAGCTGGACGCCAGCCTCCAATTAGTGTCTCTGACTCCCAAACTCACCTCAAGTTGTTCATTCGTCTTTTCCTAGTACCAGAACTCCCAATCCGGTCCCAACGTGTCTGTTCCAAAGTCCTTCTACTCAATTCTTCTCTCTTCCCGCAGTGTGCCATCTTGCCCAACACGCTCCAGCGCTCGTCCACTAGCCAGTGGCTAAATCAGAGTTGTTTGCTTCATCTCCACAACACTCTACTAATGGTGATGTAGTTCTCCACACGTTAAAGAGACACTCTGACTCAGAAGGCTTCTTCTCAAACGTCACCTTTAGACTTGGGTCTCCTTTTGCTGGTAATCCGTGGGAGTTTGCCCACAGCGTACATAACATCTCCCCGGCTCTAGCCATGGCTAACTAGTAGATCGGTAGCTCGTGACGCCCATCTCCACCACGCCAGCCGCGAGCCAGGATTAGCTGAAGGATAAGTCAGCATTGTTTACTTGATCTCCACAGCGTTTCCCCGGCTCACCATCACTCCTTCACCAGCCGTAATTAACGATCAGCCAGGGATCGCTCCATATCCATATAAGCTTGTAGCGGCAGCCAGTTTGTTTACATTGAGGTACCGTGATTCACGTGAATCGGTTGTTGTGGGAAAGTATGTTCCCCTGGAATATTCTGTTTCCCTTAAGCAGTCAAGAGCAAATATTTCAAAATTCACAGAACTTGTCCATTATGAGGACTAAAATACCTCAAATAAAAGATGGTTAAACTGAGTGAGATTACATCTTTTTACATAACTTTCAAAAATTATGAATAAGCTTGCTGCAAAAGAGTGAACAAGAATGCTTTTACTTCATCTTTTTTTATTGTTTTTAGGAGGAAATATAGACACAAAATCACAAGCATAACATTATTACATTACATTACATCATTTTCCCATAAAAGTTTATCTTACATTGTAAAAATGCTATAAAAATAGCCAGAAATGCAATCTCCCGACATGGATATTTCAGGGGAACATAATTTCTCACAACACCTGACCTCCCGGCTGACGTCACCCCTCCTCCGTGTGTGAATCGTGATAGCTTCAAGAGCAGAACTAGCTTGCTTCCTTCAGAACTGGTAGGTTGATAAAACAGTCATAATTATAAATGTTTTTTTAAAGAGGTCAAGTAGCTTGTTTTAAGCTTTGTGTGGGTTAGGCTAGAAAGGTTGGAAATTGATTATACAGTCAAACTCATGAGCCTGCCACCGTAGCTGCAATACTTTCTCTGAACTGCATGGCGCAAAAGAGTAGCATTTTTTCATCATGATTTCATTGGATTTCACACATGAGGCCTTTAAAACTGCTAAGATGAGTTCAAGTTGTCTTTTTCTTTACAATATATTAAATACATTTTATTTTTATATTTTCAATTTTTTTGAATTCAATTTTTTTGAACTCCTGTAATCATTCAGTTTTACTTTTGTAGGACACACATATATCGTTTAGTTGCTGATGTTGATTAGCTTATTACACCACTCTTAAGATGGTTTTGCTTCTCTTACTTTTATTTATTTATTTTCTCAGGTTTTATTAGTTTCCATGTAATTAATTTACTCATTTCACTACATTTTATAAATTTTCTGCTTCAGTGCTCAACACTCCAGATTCTGTCTCCCAGTCTGATGTCTTTACCAAGCTTTACCTCTGTACTACTTACCACGTGGTCAGAATTAAGGAGGGGGATGAATGGAAGACGGACATCATCACACTTACAAGCAATTGGGAATAATTAGTAATGCGTTTCGGCCTATGCAATAATCCTCCCGTGCTCCAATGATTCATCACTGAAGTGCTACGTGAGGTGTTGGGCCACTGGGTCTTCATCTACTTTGATGGCATCCTTGACAGCACTGGGATTGATTCTGCAACCTTCTGCTTACTGGACCTCCTTCTCCACCTTCTGAACTATACTGCTGCCCAATGCAATGCTGGTATGAATAAGAATTTATTCAAACAAAAGCAATACAGAATAGGATATTTCTGGTTTGCAAAAGCTGAACTGAACTTGCATTCACTGATGCTCGAGATTGTTTTTAGATATCCTGAAAAGTTTCCCCTAAAATTTTAGGGCTCATGTAACTCTAGATAAATTTATACCTGAAATGGAAAGCAAATACAGCACGGAACTGTAAACATACTCTGGCCTACATGGGCAATAGTTCTATTTGTAAATTAAATAAAATAGGTAATTCATCAGTGCTGAACTAATATTTTGGGTACGTTCTACTCATTACAATTGGGTCCTTTTTGTTAATTAAATAAAATAGGTAGAAGTAACAATTTATTATTTATTTCATTCTTTAACTAATATACTTAGTCACATTTTAGATTATTTTATTGGGTGATATTTAACATAAAAAATAGTTTTTTTTTCAGTGTACTAGTTCACCTGTTGAATTAATTATAGATTCACTAAGATACAGACAAGAAGTTTATCGCTTACTAAATAGAATATTTACTAAGAAATCACAATGTAGCCATAGGAACACAGCTTGGTAAATATGTTGTGTGTGTGTGTGTGTGTCTGTGTGTGTGTAGACATGCGGATGTGTGTGGGTGGGTACCTGTGTTTGTTCTGTCTTCTGCATCCCCAGTGTGGCGGATGGCTGCTTATACTGAGCCAAGATCCTCTGGAGGTTTCTTCCTGTTAAAAGGGAGTTTTCCTCTCCACTGTCGCTGCATGCTTGCTTAGTATGAGGATTGCTTTAAAATCACTGACACTAGTCAGCGACTTGATGCAATTTGCTGGGTCCTTAAATCGGAAACTTTTTACTGATTGGCTTAATTGACTGAACTGTATTGGAATGTTTACTTTCTGAAGTGCCTTAATTTGGTGCTAAATAAATAAACTAAATTGAATTACTGTTACAAGAAAAAAAGAACATTGAATTATCCATAAAAATCAAATTACTTGATGAAAGCCAAACTTGAATAATGTTCAAAGGTCACATTGTATTCCTGGTTGTTCTTTCAGTGCACTTATTAAAAAATAAAACTGTTACCCAGTTGATCCTTATGTATTAGCTCTGCTTAAACGTTCCGTGCTCCTTGTAATAGTTCATGTTTAGCGTTTGAGCAATCTCTCAGGTAACAGAGGCCCTGCATATGGAATGAGATGTTAATGAGCAGGAGATGGGAAGCCTTATCACTGCAAGGCCAAATTGCGACAGTAAATTGTGTAGTTGTAACAAAAGTAACAGAGCGTCCATTCAGCCTGCACTAATCCAGATGGGAAAGTCAAAAAGCAGAAAGTCCATAGCACAAACTCATTTCATCACTTTATTAATTTAGATATTGCCTTCTCGCTCCTGTGGGGAGAGAAAAAAAAAGAAGCCCCTCTGAAATGACCAACATTGATGAGGAGCTTTGCTCTACATGGTTCCCCCACTTCGTCTACTCTTGTTATCTGTTTAATTCATCCGACCAATCTTGGCTGTCTTTACCCACTAAATTTCCCTTTGACACGCATGCCTTGCTTCACATAATTCTCAGTGAGGGGCAGAATTTAAAATGGGGGAAAAAAAGAAGAAGGAACTAGACAGGTGGCTGGAGAATCCTTGAAATAATGTTGAATGCCAAACTCAGGAATGATTTGACTAGATTGGAACTGGGCTGATAGGATAAGAGTTCTCCCCCTTCCACCACCACCCTTTATGTTTACAGCCGAGCAGTTGGGAAAAGGTGACAGGTTGGAAATGTGCACAGACCGAAATGTCTCTTTAAAAGTTGGGTCAGTGAGTTGGTTAAAAATTGTGGTGCAAGAGTGACATCTGAGGAAAACTGTAGCAGGGAAGATGAAAATGTCACTCTCCAGAGGCTTGATATGAGAAGTTTTTTTTATTGAAGACAGAATTAGAACAGATCACTTGTTTAAGTTACCCAACTGCCTGCATCTACTGTAGAGACCATTTTTTCCTTGTGCGATTATGGCAGATATGTTATCTGCTGCTTGAGGCAGCTGAGCACTCAGTCTCCACAATCGGTATCAGCTTTATCTGACCAATCAGTTCTCACACACTTTTGTCGTAGCACCACTACATCTAGCTTCGTTTATGTTTGTGTGTGTAAAGCAGTACGTTATATCAACTGTATTTGCTTTGGGTTATTTTACACATGAAAAAGCTTGTGTTTATGATGCTGGTTTGATATGAAGACCATACAGGCTTTTGAGGTTTTTTTGTTGTTGTTGTGATTTTTCAGCATTTTAGAGTGTTTTGTTAACTGTAGAATGGACCCCAAACCCCCCTAAGAATTAAAATGTGTTCTGGTGAAGGTACTTGTTTATCTAGCATTCAATTCAAGTTTATTTATATAGCACCAAATCACAACAAGAGTCGTCGCAAGGCACTTAAACATTCAAATACAGTTCAGTTAATTAAGCCATTCCTCATAGTAAGCAAGCATGTGGTGACAGTGGAGAGGAAAACTCTCTTTTAACGGGAAGAAACCTCCAGAGGATCCTGGCTCAGTATAAGCAGCCATCCACCAAAACTCACTGGGGATCGAGAAGACAGAGCAGACACATGCACACACCCACTCACACACACAACCTATGTACCAAGTAGTGTTTACATTGTGATTTCTTAGTAAATATTGTAATTAGTAAGAGATAAACTTTACTGTCTTTATCTTAATGAATTTAAAATTAAGTCAATGGGTGAACATGTAGTAGCACATTTCATGTCAAAGAAAGTAAAATGTTATCAGGAGAGGGGGAATGTTTAAGTGGTTGGCAGCAGTGGTCAAGTCAATGGCCCCCTCCATGAGGCCACCACAGCTCAGCAGAACATCATTGTAGCTTCTTCTGGGGAGAAAAACAGAGCATAAATAAAGTTAACAGCTAAAATAGCAGGAAAAAATACAATTAAGAAAAAAATTGTACAGTGTGGAAAGTGGTCGGTATGCCCTCCAGCAGTCTAAGCCTATAGCAGCATAACAACAGAGAACTCTGGATAACCTAACCTTTTAGATGGAGGTATGTTGGAGGCAGGGCAAGGGAGAGACGTCTTTACCGACTGTACACTCCACTTCCCTCTACTCCCTCACTTGTCCAGGTCTAGGCTAACATCAGTTTTTAACCATAGGCCCTAACAATTAAAAATGTTTTAAGCCTATAGTCTTAAAAGTAGACAAGGCATCTGCCTCATGGACTAAAGCAGGGACCTGGTTCCACAACAGCGGAGCCTGATAGCTAAAAGATCTGCCTCCCATTCTATTTTTTAGATATTCTGGGAACCACAAGTAAACCTGCTGTCTGAGAGCAAAGTGCTCAGTGAGGAACATATGGAACAATCAGGTCACTGATGCATGATGGAGCTTGATTATTAAGAGCTTTATATGTGAGAAGGAGGATCTTAAATTCTATTCTGAATCTAACAGGTAGCCAATGTAGGGAGGCTAAGACAGGAGATATATGATCTCTCTTTTTAATTCTCATCAGAACTCTAGCTGCAGCATTTTGGACAAGCTGAAGATTTTTACTACAGTCTGTGGACTTCCTGAGAGTAATGAATTACAGTAATCCAGTCTTGATGTAATAAATGCATGAACTAATTTTCTGCATCACTCCTGGAAAGGATGCTTCTAATCTTAGCAATATTCCGAAGGTGGAAAAAGGAAATCCTACAACTCTGTTTAATGTGGAATTTGAATGACATGTCCTTGTCAAAGATAACACCAAGGTTCCTTGTTTTGTTCTCGAAGACTGATTTAATGCCATTCAGGTCAGGTGATTGACTAAGCAATGTCCTTTCCTGAATTTCAGGTCCAAAGATGAGAACTTCAGTCTTGTCTTGATTCAAAAGCAAAACGTTTGGAGTCATCCAATTTTTTATGTCTTCAAGACAAGCGTGTAATCTAACTAACCAATTAGGTTCATCAGGGTTAATGGATAAATATAACTGAGTATCGTCAGCATAACAGTGGAAGTTTATCCCATGCCGTCTAATGATTTTACTAATTGGAAGCATATATATAGTAAAAATTGTTCGAAGCACTGAACTCTGTGGTACTCCACAAGTAACCCTGGAGTATGAAGATTTGTCATGTACGTTTACAAAATTATATCTTTCAGACAGGTAGGATTTAAACCAGCCTAGCGCTGTTCCTTTGATCCCTACAAAATGTTCAAGCCTTTCTAAAAGAATATTGTGATCAACTGTGTCAAAGGCAGCACTGAGATCTAACAAGACTAGAACAGACACAAGATTCTTATCTGAGGCCATGAGAATATCATTTGTAACTCTCACTAATGCAGTTTCAGTGCTGTGATACTCTCTAAAACCAGACTGAAATTCCTCAAACAGATCATTAGTGTTTAAATGCTCACATACTTGGAGGGCCACTATTTTCTCAAGGACTTTGGATAAAAATAGAACGTTAGATATTGGTCTATAATTCATTGGGTCATCTGGATCCATGTTTATACAGTAATCCTCACATTTATTCATATCCCTCCATTAAAGAAAATACAAAATTCACATAAGTCACTGGAACAATTAGAAACTCAACATATAACAAATAGAAAAAAAATTATAACAAGGCAAAGTAATTAGAATTAGAAAGCCCTATTGCCTTTGTGACAACAGAAAGTGCCGCTGGCACAATGAAACTGCGACGGTCCTGGTTCTATTTACTCTGGAGTAAAGAAAACGTAAAAATCATAGGATAAATAAAAGCATCATAAACACTGCTGACATCTAAAAGTAAAATAATTACAACTAGGTTTTAGAGTTTTTGGTGCATGTGTACATTTAGAGTGGCGATCACTTGGGTAAAGTAACTGTTCTTGAGCCTTGAAATAAAACTTTTGAATTGTGGTTGAAAAAAGACAATTAAAACAAAAATAGTCCCAGAAAAGTTATAACACTTCACTAATAAGCAGGGTTGAAATACCTGTCAATGTCATGTTTGAGGGTAATTTCTTGACCCACGACACCACCGAGAGACAGAAGGTAAGTTTAAATGATTTATTTTGTATGGGAGAGGTAGCCGAAGCTTCTGCAGGACTGGAGGGATCCGTGGGGTCTGAGAGAGGAAGAGAGGTCAGAGTCTGGAGCAACGTGAGACGATGATGAAAAAATAAGGCTTACTGTTTCCTGGATGATCCGGTAATTTGTGGGGGGTTAGTCAGACCTGGCTGGATGGGGAGACTGAGGAGCTGCAGGTGGATAGGTGGGTGACGGAGAGCTGGCGATCAGGGGCAAACAGCAGGACTGGAATGTGGTAGATGGTTCCGGAGATATAGCAGAGAGTGGAGATGAACAGATGACTGGAACCTGGAGGAATCAGGAGGGCAGAGCAGGTTAACTGCCAGAAGGGCAGGAACAGGTGGACAAACAAATTCTAAAATAGTTTTTAGGAAGGTCAAAAGGAGGGCTAGAAACTACCCAATACTGAGTATCATCTGGCAATGGTGAGATGTCCAGCTGCTCCTTAAATCCCCTGATCGCTGATGAGCTGATTTGGCACAGCTGGGCTCTCCAGACACACCCACCTGTAAACAACACTCAAGCAGAGATGATAATGCAGCACAGATCATGACAGTCAATAGGTGCAGACATCTGAGTCTCAGAAATCCTTTGGCTGCAGTGGTCTTATCCAAGTGTTGTTTAACAACATATTAGTTTATGAACCATGGTTGTTTTTTACAAATCACCACTTCTACATTCACCATGTGGAGCAACACCCAGAATTCAGAGTTCGAGGAAAATGTGACACTTTCTCCTCAACTCTCCCAGAAGTGGATGGTTGGGGCATCGTTGCAGTACCAGGTACCATCCCTGATGTTTTCCGCATCTGGCCCAAAGCTGCCAAGTTCGCTCAAGCAATATTTCCACAGTTCGGAGTAGGTGAACTCCAGAAACATGTGGAACTCAACAGATTTGTTCTTTGTTTCATCAACACAACAAAATGACTGACCCAAGGTGTGAGCAACGAGATGACCGAGATAAGGAAAAGGGTCCTACAAAACCACATTGTGTTGGATCTTCTCACCGCAGCTTTTGGCGATATCTGCAAAATAATTGGACAAAGCTGCTACACATTCATTTCGGACGAAACTGCAAATGGAGGACTCATCCCAGAAGCTCTAGGTAACCTCACCAAATTCCAGATCATCTTGAAAGGTACGACCAAAGCAGAACAACCTTTCGATTTGGTTAATCTCAGGACCTTGGTGGTATCTCATACTGAAGATCCTCCCACCCCTTATCATTGTTTTCATTCTGTTTTGTTTATTCGCCTCATGATGATGTTGATGGAGTATTTTCAATAAATGCCTTTGTACACTATTATAATATAAGAAACATGTTGTTACTTCTTTGTAGACTCTGTGTGGTTAGAAAACTGAATTTTCTCACCTCCTGCTCTGCTGAGAATCTTTCTGCCTGACTCATGCATTTTTTCCTTATCTTCTGTGAAACTGATTACCCCCTTTTGCATCAACAGAAAGACACATCCCCAGTTTCAGAGTGAGTTGGGCCATTTTAAACCTTGTAATTCGTTCTTCTCTTTGCAAAGCTGTTGAAAACAATATTGTTGTGTTCTTTGTGAATCATTTCAATAGAAAGTGGTAAAAGAATCCTGACAAACAAGAACAACTAGAAACAAAGAAAGACTAGAACTAAAACCAGTAGGACTGTAGCGAAGCCTCGATGACGTAGACGGCTCGATTCTAAAAATTGAAGGGTCCATCCCTTCCTTTTTGCACACGAGCCAAACTCCCCAGGAAGGGTCGTAACACCACTCGCCTCACACACATAAGTGACCAAAACAAAGCAGCATGGAGACACTCCGTCTCTCCAACCACCTCTCAGGCAGCTGCCTGCTCTCCCAAGTTCTACACGTCACCAGAACATAACCAACCGCAACACAATAAAAGCAGTGTTATACAAAATGGAAGGCCTGTAGTGTTTATTCTCTTACAGTACCAATTTATCTTTTTTTTGAGGAAGTTATTAGAGATTTTTTGGTTTTTATTAACTGTGCAATAGAAAAATAATCATTAGATTAATTTTCTAAATAGTCATTAGAATTGTCGACTATTCGATAAAATAATCGTCAGAATAATCGTTTACCCCCATCCCTAAAAACCACTAATAACCCTTCCTATTTCAAAGGGATAACAAAAGATAATCACAATGATGAAAAAACATAACATTAACACACCAACAAAACCATACATGACAGTCAGAAAAAGATTAGTGCACCCAAAGGACAAGATATCAGATAAAAAAAATGTCGAGTGATATACGAAACACCATGCAAAACTTGCAATAAAACATACATAGGAGAAACTGGAAAAATAGAACATCAAAGGCAGTGCTAGAAGGAAACAAGTTGAAGACACAAAAGAGCAGCAAAACAAGAAGCAAAAAGTACAATAAAGAAATCAGCTGTAACAGACCACTGCACAAGGGAAAATCATATCTACCTTAGTCCTGCATCCCATCATGCTTTGTGTGAAAGATGCAAGCGACTTCTAGTCCCGCGTTTGTTTACATTGAGACGACGTGATTCCTTCGTGCAAATCCTCTTTTTATGGGCTTTTAGAGACTAAAACCAGGCATGAACACCAGATGTCACAGCTCAAACGGGACACCGTTACACTTCTTCTGCCTACTAAAGCAAAGAGGTGGGGGGACGATCTTAAAGCATGGCCAAAGCTAACGTACAGTAGCATATAAGCTACTTTCTGAACTCAGTCACATCCAAAATGAGGTAATAAACAATCTTAAAAGCTCTGAGGCTGATCAGTACCAACATAATAATAAGATTGGCCATGTTTTGTTGAAAGAGGTGGGACACAATCTTATTTACTTAAAAGCAAACGTAGAGCCGAGTCCGAGCCGTAAACCCATCAAGCTTTGGGTTTTAATTTCTACATCAGGTGAAATACAAGCAGCAGGATGGTACTTTTACGTTAATAGCAGCTGTCTAAACACATTTTAAAGTATAACTATTCAGAAAATTGTACACATACCTGTTGTTGTTCTTGTGGGACTGCGGTCAGATCTCATTACTACTTGGCATTGCTTCTCTGGAGGTTTGTCATTGTCACGAACGTGCTGGTTTGGTGAGCAGAGGTGAGGATCCAAATGCGGGTGAAGAAGCAGGCGGACAGGAACATTCAATGAGGATTTTAATGAGGACAACGAAACAATGAACCGACAGGACACACAGAACTGAGAGGGGTTAAATACAGGAGGAACTGGGGCCTTGGGTGATTGGAAAACAAGAGGCAGGTGGGAGTAATCAGGAGACACAGGACTGAACAGAGTGGGGAGACAGGACAGGTGTGACAGTCATATCCAACAACAAAGTAGGATGCGGGTGTTCCACTCCGGGATTTCACAATGAAATGAAAGGAATGCACAAATTAAGTTTGTGGTGGTTTTCTAGTTAAGAATTTTCAGCCACATCCTTCTGGGTTCCTCATCACTGGGGAGGTGGTGAAAAGTGTACCGACGATCGCAGCTGCACGCTCTCACATTCTGGAGGTGCATGTTTCAAATATCATTCTTGTAGCTACAAATTTAATTTTCTCTGGTTTTTAGTACAAGTGTGAAAAGCGCAAAAACTTCCCGAGCTACCTGAGTAAATTTTTGGGGGGTAAATATGTTTTTTGAATCCTATTCAAATGTTCAAAAAAACTGTTACTAATAACAAAACCTCACAATACATGCTAATGAGTTAGCGCCACTTCTAGTATCTCACCGGATGTTGCTTGCATCAGTGTTTCTCCGTGAGACTACTCAAAAATAAGGTGGATAGACCCCTTATTTGTTTGTAAACAAAGTGGATGCGCACACAGCTTGCTAGCAGAAACAAGATCCGGTTTTGTGTTGTTTCTTTGTTGTGGTTGCGTTGTTTTTGGCTAGCGATATTGTTGGTGTATATAACAGTTTATCCCCTAGCAATAAAACTTGTTATGCTGCCAAATTGACATTAGTCAACGGGACACGTCTTAATGATCCATATGCATTACCGCCAGGTGAGTGGATCAGTGATGAGAAAAAATGGCCCAAACTTCAGTGGCCGGACATCCATACTTACCTGATCGACAGGCCAAGCTCTTATTCCCAGGAGAGCATGAATTCCTACAAAACCCTGGATGCCTGCAGCTATGTAACGGACAACTACCGTATTTTCCGGACTATAAGCCACTACTTTTTTCCCACGCTTTGAACCATGCGGCTTATAATGAGGTGCGGCTTTACTGAAGATTTTCCTTTTCCTGCCAGGGGGCGCTTTAGCAGAAAGTGAAACAGGTGGAAGTCAAAAGTGGAAATCGAAGAAAGTGCTCATTTTAATTTAGCACATGCAAGCAGCCGGCACAACGAAGAGTTTTTTTCAAATCCATACCCCCTCATTATGGTAACTACATGTATGAGTTCATATGTTGCCGCATTTAAGTTGAAGGCCATCGATCTGGCAGTAAAGGAGGGAAACAGTGCTGCCGCACGTAAGCTTGGCATGAAGGAATCCATGGTTCGGCGCTGGAGACGGCAGCGGGAAGAACTCATTCAAGCCAGCTTCACCCGGGGATGATGACAGCAACACGGACAGCGACACTGACATCGCCACAGAAAAGGTATGTGACCAAGCTCTTCTGAGGCTGTTCAACTCTGACACTGAAGAAGAGGACTTTAATGGCTTTAGTGCGCAAGAGGAAGATGAGAGCGAATGACTTTTTCTGGTCGGCAAGTGTGTTTTATTTACTAACCAGGCATGCTTTGTGTGCAGTTTTTATTTTCTAATCATCCAGGGCTTATTAATGCTGTGTCAGCACTGTTCTTTTCTTCTAAACATGCATGCAGATTACCGGTAATAACGTGTCAGTTCTGTTTTTAACTTTATAACCATCCAGAAATATGAATGCTATCAGTGCTGTTTTCTTTTCTAAACTTGCAGGCACGTTCACCCGTGTTTAAAATTCGTTTTGTTGAATTAAAACAACAATGAAAAACCTCTGTGTAGCATCTTTCTGTCTGATTATCTTATGCTATGGCCATACATGCGCTGTGCGCCAGAGACCTGCATGTGGCTGCTGCGCCGCAGCTTGTATTTGAGTGCGGCGTGTGTGTAGAAAACCTTTATTTTTTGTTGGTGCGGCTTATATTGAGGTGCGCTCTATAGTCCGGAAATTACGGTATGTTCAAGATATTTTATTGCACAATAATTATACTGAAAACTTTGTGGCTATGAAGACTGAGGTGATGCCGAGTCAAAGACAAGAGAAGAAGACAGAGATGTACAAATCTGGGTCATTGTAAACAAGAAAAACAACTGCATTCGGAGAGCAAACTGCACCTGCATGGCTGGGTGAGTCATTTATAATAATATAACGTTACAAATTAATATTAGCATTATTTCTA